TTTATCGTCATACCCAGGGCGATGAAGTAAGCAGTGTGTCAGTAAAGTTATAGTCTCTTCAAATTTGATGAGGTTGCAAAAGTATATGCAGAGAATTATTGTAAATTGTTGGAGAGGACAAAGTTTTTGAACGGGAATAAAAAAAAGCTAAAGTCTGTGTTTATATATATATATATATATATATATATATATATGTGTATATATATATATGTGTGTGTGTGTGTGTGTGTGTGTGTGTGTGTGAAAAGTGTATATAAATATAAATAAATATATATATGTATAATTATTTATATATTATATACGGTACTTATTAGAAAGCGCTCAATATCAGAGATAGAGCTAACATATTTGGTTGGATAGATGTGAGTTTTGAAAAAAACATAATCGTTTTTTGGTTTTTAAAGTTAGAAAAAACCAATTGTAAAGAATGTGAAAAATATCTGGTATATATATATATATATATATATATATATACATAAAACACATTGTGTGTGTGTGTGTGTGTGTGTGTGTGTGTGCCATATATTCTTAAATATCTTTTTTAATTGACTTTTTGCCTACTTTCAACCAAAAAAATAATTCAATATTTTTTTTTTTTAATTCATGGTTCAGTGTTCAGAGACGTACATTAAATAGGAAAATATTATTCAAGATCTTCGGGAAAACAAGGCAAAAGTTAATGCCAATGCTAAAATGGTAGATGTTGTAGCTTACCTACGGACGATAATGGGTATGTCCCATTCACATAAATACAGTAGTAAATACTGTATGTTGGTCTGCAGTTGGAGATTCATTGTGGAATTCACTTGACTCACTTCTAGCAGTTGACTACTTCTACGCGCCGCTGGCGAATCTTATATGTGTTGTTCTTGTCCAAAATATTATCGTTTATGACCAACCTTCGTTTGATTATTCTATTCAGTAACCTTCTCTAGATTACAACAGTGGATAAGGCAAATGAGCTGATATTAACATGTAAAAGTATCTCATTATCATTCCGTTTGTATCTCCATTAGTTAATACGTCCTAAATAGTGGACTGTTCCGTTTTGAGCGCGTGGAAAGATGGAAAAGACACAGCAGAGAGACTGCCAGGCTTCAGTGAGAAAAGAAAGAAAGAAAGCAAAAAAGAAAGAAAGAAAGAATGAATGAATGAAGTGTTTGGTGCCTCCTGCCAATACCACATAAATAATGGACTATCCCGTATTGTTCGCGTAAAGAGACGCTACTTGGTTTCAGGGAAAAAAAAGAAATAAATATTTAACGTCTGTTTCAGTCAAATGGAAAAAGGTGCCAATTTCAAATCTTTTCAATTGTACCCCTTAAAATTGTGACCATCATTCACATTTATGATTGTGTGTTAAAGTTGTTAAGCTTAAATATCTAGCGATGCTATAGGGGGATTTCTACGGATATTTTATTGTCGTAGAACTCGCCCTGAGCTTATTCAATCATTAACATAAGAATCCAACTAGAAAAATACCGTGAAAGTTTGGGGAGTATTTTCAGTCCTTATTAATATTATGTAAACAAATTGACACTGGATTACAAATACACATATCACAACATCCTTAATACCCATTAGGATAATTGTATAAAACGCGCTTCCCTGCCAGTAACGCAAACTCGTATATTGTAAGAGGTTTTGATAAAAGTAGAGTATAGAATTGCAGAGGAGGTCCAGTCCATGTCTTTAGACCGGCTGCCAAGACGATCACCAATGGAGGTCGTTCCCAATTATCTAGATGTGAAAACCGTTATCATAGGTATTGCGAGTAAAATAATAATTTATTTAGATACATAATATATTTAGTTAACCAAATATACTAAATTTTTAGCCACTCAATCGATATAGAAAATAAATATTTATTGGAATGTAAACGTTTATTTGCTGAATAATAGCAACATCTCTCTGCGCAGAAAATATGTAAGTTGGTTCGTTCTGCGCAAATATAAACAAGCAGGTGAAATTTATAAATGTGTTAAATTTTGAATTCTCAAATTAATAACCATTTCACAAGTTTGATTCCGGAAAGGCTTAGTGTAAAAATATATATCAGTTTGAGGAAAAAGTAATTTCTTTTATCGGATACCAACTCTAAGGACGAAATTAAACCTTTTTTAAAAGTATCGGAACAGATGCTGAAAATGGGTTGCATAGCACAATGCTCAACGCAAAAACAGGGGTGTGACAAATAGAAATTACCTAATCTGACCCCCAAAATCTGAGCCCCATGGCAGAAGGTTATTGCCGTGCGTGTGATGAGATTGCCGGAGTATTATCTTTTTATTTTTTTTTTAGAACGCACTGAAACGTTAAATGCATATTTTTATTTTCAGCAGCTGCAACGTGTCCGTAAATGTTTGATCTAAAATCGTCCTGTTCTCATCAATAGGGAAAATGTTATTATCTTCCATGACAATGCAAGCTTTATGTTGAAAGAAAAAAAAAAAACAAGAAAAAAAAATTGGAAGTCTTTTGGTCTGTTCTAGATACCCCA